CTAGTAATACCACACGGAGAATATATCAGTTTCAAGTTGTGCATTAAAAACGTAACTCACCATTAGTAAACAGAGTCTGCCTACACTCTGGTACTTTTACTTAATTACAAGATCTGAGTACTTCTCCCACCTCTGTGTAAAAGTACTAGTAATACCACACGGAGAATATATCAGTTTCAAGTTGTGCATTAAAAACGTAACTCACCATTAGTAAAGCTAGGGGAAATATACCAGTATTTATACAAATGCAGAAAGAAGTTCCCCTAATGACTGTTATTGCATTCTATAAAATGTAAATAAACTATTATTTCTCATGCATTAATGCTGGCATTGAGAGATTTGCCCAACAATAGTAAACATTCAAAATGATGAGAAACAAATTAAAATGATTTATTATTTAAAGGAAATTGTAAAAAATAAAAGAAGAAGTAGCAAATCTCAGCCTTACTTGAATATAATGTTGGGCAGTTTATGAAAAACATATTTCGTAAGCATTATATGCTTTGCGAAAAGAAAAGAAAACGAAAAGCTTGCTAAATCAGAAAAATGTGGTGTGATGAGTGGAATATTTCCATAGTAGAAGAAGGTATGAAAAGGCAAGTACTTCAAATGTGTACACAAGCACAGTACTTGTAGATTGTTACATTCCAACACTATAGTAAGATAACTCCAATATTTAGTTCATATGAAATAAAGCAACAATTATCACCCAGTTTGAAATAAAACTGCAAGTAAACCTGCTCTGCTGTGAGAGGAGCGAGGAAGGGGCAGGATGTGTGATCTGAGTCAGCGTGGGGGTGCAGAGGTTCAGGCCTCTGTTCACTGGGTGATGGTGGAAGCGGTTTCTAGCTACTGTCTGGGGTTCCTCTTCACTGATCGGAGCCACATTAAGGTCACATTACGCACCTGAAAGTTACGTAAGATATAATGCCACTAAAAGCTGATGAAATGTGCTGTGTGAAGAATCAGAGTGGTGGGGGGGAGGAGGGTGTATGAACTTTGTGGCTCCTTCCTCCCACACACAGCACTAACTGGACTCTCCGGGGGTTTCAAATGAAATGCTTCTTGTAAGCACACGGGAAGAACTTTCATCAATTGAGAAGGGCTCTTCTGGGAAGTTGCAAAGTTCCCCCAGCCTCTCTGATAAGTATCTAGATTCTAGAATAATCTCACAAGCACAACGAAGTAATACAGAGCAAGGGTTGCTTGCAAAACTTTAACAATGCAGCATGTAATTTTATTAGACAAGGAGTGATTTCCCCTAGATATATAGTGTGTAAATGAACAATAAGCTTAACCTGTTGAACCCCATCGACCCGCCCCGGGCGGAAAAACACATCATCTGCAGGAAACAGCGTCTGAGGGCTTCTTAATAAACTATGAATGTTTCATATCCATGTAACGGGAAGAAACTCAGCTAACTGATCATTATTTATTTTTTTGCAAAAAAAAAAAAAGCTAACGCTGAGCCTATGAATTAGCCTCGAGCGAAAAAAATCTTAAGGCCGTTAGCACGCTAGCTATACCGATCGATAAACTTATTGGATCNATATATATATAAGGCATGAATACATAATTTCCGCACAAAAATATCATAAATTGGTAATAGCCTGCTGTCCCCCAAAGCCATGCATTCTCGAAATATTATATTTATGATATTTTTGTGCGGAAATTATGTATTCATGCCTTATATATATATATACTGTCTATGATCATGTCTATGAATTCATGCTCGTCTCTTGTCCTGGGTGGCAGGTTACGTCACTTCCGCCTAAAACCCACATTTCACATTATCTATTTTTTGCAAAAAAATTGTTTTTTTAGCAAAAACAAAACGTTTAACCTCACAAGCGCTCTCAACGCTTACAACTGTTTAACTTAGATTAAACTTCTATAGAACTAAAATAAAGATCATTACAGTCGAACATTTCTTCAAAATAACTGAGATAAAAGAACAGAGTAACAGAACATATACAAAGTAGCTATATGGAGATTAACCTTTATTAATCCCAAAGGGGAAACTCTGTTTGATTAATACACCGTACCAGTAGAAACACATGCATAGGAACGCAGATATGCACAAACACATGCATTTTTAGAGGTGCCAGTTGCAAGTGAGCAGTTCAGTGCCTTCCTCAGAGCCCAGGACGTGAACAAGTCCCTACAGACTGAGTTACTGTCACTACTGTATTGAGATGAAACCAATTTGTAAATCAAATGTTACTCTACTACATGTAACTAGTTACTCCCCAATCATGTGTGTCTTCTGCAAACACTGCCTGAAACTCATCCCGAGGGAGATGGAACAATACAGAGAGGTAACAATAAGCCTCATCAACTGAAGTTACCTTTCTTTTCTTCAGAGTAATGTACCATTTAGGAACTGGATTAAGTCCCTCCCTGTCCGGTGGACCTCGGAAAAATTATGTATTGAAGTCAAGGGCGAGAATAATTATCTTTCGATCCCTTTTGAATTGTGCCACGAATCACACATATGATGTTTGTCAATTTAAAAGATAATTTTGCAAGTTACATTTGCCGTAAACTGTGAAGTAACACTTTTTTTGTTTGTGTGAAACCGCTCAATGAACTACATCTCTGGTCTTGCACAACACACGTCACCAAGATGGCCGTCACTGCCATCTTGCCAAAAAACCAAGGTGGTGCAAGTGAAATGTTTTGTAATGCACGAGTCAACACGTTCCATGTTCTCTTGAGAAATCTGATGTACAAATTCATCTGTCGATTGAAAGTTTCTCATAACTCTGTCATTATGCTGCTTTCAAATCCGTGTCTCAGTGCTGCACGATACCAGTCACCTCTGCGGAAACATTGGTATAACTGCCTTTTTTTAAATGTATATGAGTGTTGTATGTATTTTTAATTAAATGGACCAAGAGTCTCTTTAAATAAAGCTGATGATGTAGATTCGGTGATCTTAACATTCAGCCTAGAGAATGAACATAGCCTCTCAATCGCAGCAACAGGATATTTATTTGCTTTTAGGTGACTCAGGACACACACACACACACACACATGATGCCTGCTGAAGGTTGTTCCCTCGATATGCTCACAAAGTCACTTTTTCTTCGATCTTCTCATCTTCTCATCTGAAACTCCAACATAGCTCCACATCAGCATAACGAAGGGTGTAACATGTCTCATTTATAAGTACTGAACTAGAAGTCATAACAACGGCCCTTTCTCTCCCAGTCTCCGTAACGTGTGGGCTCCGGACCTCGAGGGCCCCCCTTCTCCTTGGTGACAGGGTTCACATCATCAGGGAACTTCTGCAGAGCAGCCCTGCTCTCCTCCTCGGGGCTGTCCAGGCGTCCCTGCGGGGTTTTAGCTTTCTTCAGCGGCTGCTTGTCCTTTACCGATCCGCTGGCCGCACGGGAACATCCTGTGAGAACATACACAGGAGTCCTCGCTGGAGCGCAGAGCCGCAAGAGAGACAGCATGTCGGCGGACGGGGACTCTCTTCTGCTCGGACACTTACACAACGGTGATGTTCGGAGGTATACGATCTAGCACCCCCTCTTGCGTATGAGGTGGCTCAAAGGTTTCCCGAAACGTCTTCTTCTTCTCGTTTTTAATGGCGGATCGCAAACAGCTTTTAGTTGCATACCGCCACCTACTGTACATGAGTGTGTGTATCATCATGTCATTCCATCACTCAACTCATGGACGTATCCAGGTCCGCCCCTCCCTACAGGCAGTTCACGCAGACTGCGTCGGGCCTCACCTCGCGTCATCTTGCGGAGGGAGCCTCAACTGAGCCGCAAATGCGGCGCTTCTAGCTATGTGCTTATGCGGAGCAATTAGGCGCGGCACAGTTTCGCCGCTGCAAAGCCCCACTAGCGCCCCCTCCATCCCTTTTTTCTTAATTACTGCTTTTCCTTCTCCTTTTCCAAGTTGAACTGGTAATGTTATTTCCTTTTGTAATGCACTTTTTGCTAATTTATCAGCACACTGTCCCTTTTACCCCCTCATGAGCAGGCACCCAGCAGAACTGATACCGCCTCTGTGAAGTCTTAACAAGCTATGGTTAAGTTCTATGAGTATATTTTCTCTGACAGTTGTTGTTGACTGTACGCTTTTTAATATGGATAATGAATCTGTGCATATCACCACCCTATCTGGTCTGACCTCTTCAACCCACTGTAATCCTATTATTAGTGCCAGCATTTCTGCTTTGTACACTGATAGATCTGACGCTCGTTTTGAGATCGATATTTTAAAGTTTGGGATATATATACCAACTCCAACACACTTCCTTGTTCTTAGAACCATCTGTGTATATTTTGAGGTAATTGTGATTATTGCTGAGGTGCATACTTTCCCGAAACTTTGTTTTCTTCCAATAATTTGACTCTCCATAGATACAAGGTCACAAAAATACTAACTTAAACCACATACATTTTGAGGCTATTTTTGTTTGATTTATTGGTCTGCATCACATTGAGCATTGTTTTGCTTATTTTGTCCACTTTGTCTCACAAGTGTAGGAGCAATGCTCCTTACAATCCAATCAAATACAAATAACGAACCAGATATGTTTGAAAGGTTAGATTTCTGACCAGCTTTGTATTAGTGTATGTAAATGTAAAATGCATGATTTAGGAGGTTAACCGGTAACTAAACTGCTCCCTGGCACCCTCTTCAGTCTACAATGCATGTGTGCACCTATCTGTGTACTGTTTGTAAAACTTTTTTTACAAAATATATAAACCAGAGTGAAGACAAATAAAGGTTTATCTTCTTCTAATGAATACACAATATGAAACTATTTCACTAAAATACCCTACTTTTATTTAAATAAACAATCTAAATATTTCTTTCAAAACTATCTGTAAATAAAATGGCTGCACAATGCATTTGGATACGCATTACGTATCCAGATACTCAGGCAAGCAGAATAAAAATGCATCCACAGATAATTCATTTGTTATTTGTGGACACCATAAGAATAGCAGTAATAAATTCTGGCAACGCTTTGCTATTTTTTAAAGTTTTATTTTTCTCCACTATTCAACACACCAAGTGCTTCAAGAACAATATTAACATCACAAACATCACAGTAACCCAACACAGCAGTGACTGTTTCCCCCGCTGCCAACCACACGTATTGGTCCACATAATCCACATCTCATCTTGACGTGTGGCTGACAGGGGGAAATCAGTGGGGGGGGCGGGGAAGTAGAGATGACACAATCATCACATAATATTGACGCCTTCACACAACTGAATACATTGATTAATTCATGTGATTAAAAGATAATGTTATACTGAGAATAGACACACAAGATGTTTCTCTAATTAGTAGTAAGTAGAAGCGTGAGAACAGAAAGATTAGGATGAATCCTGGCGAGGGTCTACTGACCGCTGCTGGAGCTACGGCTTTCTCAACGAACAACAAACACTTTGCACTTTTAGACAGTCACGCCAACTCAATCTTTAAAAGCCGACGTCTTCACACGGTTTGTTTCGTCCTCTCGGGCCTTAACGGATGTACTGAAGCCACTAGTGATCGCTTGATCCCACTGTCACGGAGGATGTTAGTATAGCGCTTAAGGGATGAGCTAGTACTGCATTTTGACAGAAGCGAAACACCGACACAGACGCTTCCAAGCTTGGGAGTGGCTTGAGATTTACCATGTGGGGGAGAAAGGGAGACGGCACCAGGTGTGGAGACAGGAAGAAGAGGCATGAGTTGAATACTGACTGATTATCTTGATCTATTGTTCACATTTTACCTCTGACTTCTGATCACATATGACATTAATTTTCAGTCACAACATTGTCTCAAAGCAGTTTTGATTTGTTTGGTTGAATAGAAAAAGAAACAAGCCTGTTCCCTTTAGTATGTTAGTTTCACATTATGTTTTTAAATACACATAACTAATCATGTAATCTTTAACAACTCTAAAGTACAGTAGACAGCACAGGCTTGTGATTTATGGAGGAGTGAGGGGAAATAGCAGAGCAGATATAAGACTATAACTATACGCCACAGTTGAATGTGGTGGGTGTTTAGTAGGCGTGATTTTCCACGTAGAGGGATTTTCCTGCGGCGGTACCACTTCCAGAAGACTGGTACTTGCCGAGAGCGGCCAGACTGTTAGCCTGAATAAGAGACAAAAAGAATATATATCAACAATCTTGCACGAAGAAACTTTATTTCATTCTAATATTCTGCGAAGATGTGTCTGATGTCTGACCTCGGCGCGCTTGATGAACTCCTCGGTGGCGGCCTTCTCTTTGCTCAGCTCTCCTCTCCATGCGTTCAGCGCGGAGGCCTGCAGGGCGCGGCCGTACGAGAAGGTCAGAGCCCAGGGCTTGGTGAGGGGACAGTTGTTGATGGCATTAAGGTTGATGCTGGCATCTTCCTCGGACTGGCCACCTGACAAGAATGTCACTCCTAAGAAAATACAGAAACAAGCAAATATACACGTTATCTTTTTAAATCTGGCTTCATACAATGTTTTATTCTTTTAACCATGACATAAGAATAAAACTGTAGGAGCCATGAATGTCAGAGTGGGGATTTCTGTTGTATCATTTCATAAGGGTTTTTTCAGAAATATTGTACCATAAAATAAATTATACAATACATAATGGATACTATAGCAGCAAGTGTAATTACAGTATATATTTAATATACATATTTTCATCATTCTCTAATTAAAAAGTACATGTAATGAAGATTTGACCAAGAATTAAAACATGCACACATCTCTTAAATACTGTATCTACAGATCCCAGACAATTTATTCCATTAACACTTTCCCTGATTTATGTTATTTTAATGAATTAATCTTCATTTCTAATTCAATTTACCGTTTTATATTTGTTTGAAGCACTTTGTAACATTGCTAAGATGATAACGTTTATTCACATTAAATATTGTTAACTTTAATTTCCTAAATCGACCTGGTCTCTGACCTGTGACTGCAGGGGGCACGGTGCGGCGCAGGGCGGTGACGGTTGCCATGGCGATTTCCTCGTGGCTGACCTTGGTGGGGCAGGAGTGTCCGGGTGTCACCATGTTGGGTTTCAGCAGGGTCCCCTCCAGGTACACATGGTGGTCTGACAGAGCCTTGTACACTGCAGCCAGGACCTGAGCAGCGGCAGAGACACGAGATGTTGGTCAAAGGACTTTGAGAGCATTGTTACGAACGTGTGGGGACATCTTTACGGGTCGTATTCACTGTTTTGTGTTTTATAAAGTCACTCAATTCACCTTCTCACTGACGTACTGGCAGCGCTTCAGGTCATGTTCTCCGTCAGGAAGGATCTCGGGCTCCACAATAGGAACAATGCCATTCTACAAGACATTCAAAAGTATAAAGTTAGGCCAAACTCTCATATTCTTTAGATACACTAACAATTGGTTTGAATGGCCAATAGGGTCCTCAAATACCACATTTGATCGCAAATAATGTTTTTAAAAGCCTGACTAATCTCACACCGACCTGCTGGCAGATGCTGGCATATCGTGCCAGAACATTAGCGTTCTCCATGATGGCCAGCTCGGAGGGTGTGTTCTCGCTGATCTTCAGCACGCTGCGCCATTTAGCGAAGTCTGCACCGTCCTTCTTGTACTGCGCACAGCGCTCAGAGAGCCCATCCAGACCTGCAGCGCAACACATGCACAGAACCATCGTCAGGAACCAAGGCGGGTTCTACTGTTTCTGAGAGTGTGTTTTTTTATTTATCCTACCCTGTGTGGTGGTCTCTCCATCTGTTCCAGCGAGGGGCACGACACCTTTGTCCACCTGCAGGCACATTTATTTATATGTCACATTTAAGTCTAATTTATAAAATAATTCTAAATTATTAACACATAGCTAGCACAAAAGAAACAATAAAAAAAACTAAAAAAGGGTCCAGAGAACAGAAATTATAACAGGGTAACTGCAAAAAGGAAGCAATACAATATTTTATATAATGTTTTAGATGTGATGTCACACTAATAATTAAATAAACAAGTTCAATATCATCAATCTTTGCTTTATATTTAATATAGAGATTCTGATGCAAAATCCTATGAATTTCACTCAAATAAAACCAACTTCCCTGAATGTATGTTTTGAACGTTCCCAGTTTCTCCTCACAAGCTGACCTACTGTTATGTGTGGGTCTGTTTGTGTCCAAACAAACTGACAACAAATGTGTGTGTATTGTAACTAGGGTTGCAAAGGGGCGGAACATTTCCGGTAAATTTCCGGAAATTTTCCATGGGAAGTTAAGCTGGGGAATTTTGGAAATATTCGATGCAAAATTAAACAAAAAACATGGCATTAACAGATTTTTTAAAATTATTTTTTAAAAGTAGAACAGAACAATTTTTGTTTGATTATTTTATTGAACAATTATTTGTTTCATTGATGAACGAAAACAGGAATGTTGAGTTAAATATTACTCATCTGTGCATGTGATGGAGGAATGCACAGTGCCTGTATGTGTGGTCTCAATAGCCATGCAGTAAGCAGTGTGCTATGGCAATGGCATCTGTTTGTTTTAGTCAAGATTATGCTAAAATATACTTTCCCCAACTAATTTAAGTTCCCTATGAAGAGCCAACCTTCAAATTTAGAACATTCCCAGTTTATTCCCATGGAAAGTTTCCATCTTTGAAAATTCCCAGAATTTTGCAACCCTAATTGTAACAGACTTTTAGTAACCTTTTTAGCTTTAACAGCCAACACATGTGTGTTTTTGTCTGCTCAACTGAACTATTAGACTGTAATATAACATAACCGATATGGCTTTGGGGACAATCAGAGGAAAAGCTAACATCAAACAAATAAGGCCCAAGTGATTATATTTTAGGAGACAGAGATGAAACACACTATTTCTAGACTCAAGGGATCTATTCTGGAGGCTTTAAATGTCACTCCTACAGTGAGCAGTGTGTACCTTGATGCCGACAACAATGCCACGGTCCTTGATGAGCTTGGAGAAGTTAGTGCCGTCGTCTGTGTTCTGGTAAAGGGTTTCATGGAAGAAGATGACCCCTCCGATACAGCTGTCCATGCGCTGGTCGGCTGTGAAGAGCAGCTGGCGGTAGCGACGCCTGTTCTCCTCTGTGTTCTCAACCCCAATGGGGTTCAAACGTTTCCCCATGCTGCCTGTGTAGTCAACACAAAGCTGCTCAGTCAAGACTCCAATCAAAAACAGACTTACGGCATCTATCTATCTATCATATTGTCAATCTTTCAGTTTGTGTGTACAGACAAACCATTTCCCACAATCCCAAATATAAAAATTAGGGCCGGGACTCGATTAAAAAAATTAATCTAATTAGAGGTTTTGTAATTAATTAATCGCATTTTTAATCACATAAATATTTGACCTGAGAACAGTTAGAAGATGTCAATAAAGTGTGCCGTCACACAGAGGTAATTTGAATTGCTTACCGAGGTCCAATGATCCCCAGTCAGGGCAACACATTTGGCTTTCTCCAATAAATTCTCTTTATCTTCCTTTTCATTGTCATAAAGCTGCTGGATTCTTTTTGTCACTGTCTTTCTGCATGGCAGCTCATATGTTGTGTCAGACGATGCAATCTGTAGTACCTTTTGCAGCCCCTTATCTTCTACCACTCCAAGTGGTCTACAGTCGAGTGCAATCCAGTGAGCTGGTTATTTTTTCAGACGTGGACTTAGTTATCCTGGCCCTGAAACCAGTCATCTGGTTGAGTGTGGGTTGGGTGTGGGTCATACTTGTCAACCCTCCCNATATTTTTTTTTTGTTTTTCATCCTATCTCTTATTGTCCTCGACGTTTTCCATTATTGAATGTCCTTATACGTAGTCATGACTGTGTGTTATACTATCTACGGTACTGCTTTCTTTTTATCTATTTATTAACAGTTT